TAGAGAGAATAGTGCAACAATGAATGAATGGAAACCCAAAATCTCTGTAAATGTTTATGAAAATTAATAAAATATAATTATAGAAAAAAAATTGACACCAGTAATGATAGTCCTTTTTCCATAGTCCCTTCTGAATCCAGCTTGAGTTTCTGGAAGTTCCTTGTCAATATACTGTTTCAGCAGTATTTTATTTGTCTTTAGCAAGATTTTACTTATATTCAGTACTATTGATATAATCATACACTCATTCCCGTGTATTACATTTTATAAAATGAATCACCATTGGACTATGTCAATAATAACACAAAGTGAATGGAGAATAGTGTGAAACATATCAATATATAAAAAATAAAAAATAATTAAATTGTTTGATTATTTCATTTAATTATCTATTTTTGGGAGAATTACTTATCTCTTCCCATCAATTGACCAGGTAGCTATTTTTCAAATTTCTTGGCATTGACCAGTGAGCTGCATCTATTTCTTGAACTGTGTTAGTTGGTAGTCCATCAATTCCTGGGGCCTTAGTTTTTGTTTTTTTGTTTCCCTAACACCTTTATGGCATTTTAACAGTTCTTGATCATAAGCTACTTCGAGCAATAGTTCTGTGTCAACCAATTCTTTTTTGGTACAATAACTGTATATATTCCTTCTATCTTCTTTTTGTTTTTTATCCAATGTTTCTAACTTTTAAAAAATTTTATTGTGACTGAGTGCAAATTGGTTTTCCATTAAACCATTCATAGACATTTAGTTTTATTACAATAATTATAACCCCCACTTTGTTTCCATCATCTTTTGATGCTTCCTGTATGATTTAAAATTTTGCCCATAGAATCCCCCAGGTTTTCAACTCAAGGCTGATTTTGTTCTTCAGTTCTTTGAGCTTTAGAAATGCCAAGTGTTTTCTTCCTTTTTGGTTTTCTACTTCAGCTTTTTGCATATTTCACCTTTTTGTTTGCTTTTAGTTTTTTGCACATTTCACTTTTATATATGACTTTCCTTTCTTGAGTTTCACTTTGAGATATTTTGTGTACTTCTCTTATTTCAGCATTTTCCCTCTTTGTTTTGGCCTTTCTATATTCTAGTTAAATTTTCTGAGTCTCTTATGTCATATACTTTGGGTTTTTTTCTTTCTTCTATGTCTTTGTAATAACCTGTTGCATTCTTCATGGATGATGTCTTTGGTGCCATCAAACAACTCATCTGGTATTTAATCACAAAGAGGATAATATTTACAAAGCAAACAACT